TAGAGTTGGGTTTTTAATTTAGGTTATACGAATTAATTCAACCCTTTAGGAGAACATTAAAAAATTTTTTGAGAACACTAATAATTTAAATTGAACTCTTCTGCTTATAATCCAGTAGTTATAAAATTAGTCGACTGACTAGTCCACTAAAAAATTTTAGTCGATTCGAATCACTAGTATACAGTATTTATGCACGCAAAAAAATTTTTTTTTACTTGCAAGTAATGTTTGCCAACTAGTGCCTATACAAATGTTCTGTCAAGTTTTTGCATTTGTGCTCACCAATCCTGCTATGCCGAATTTTGTGTCTGTGCCTATGCCCATGCCTATTTTGCGCCTTGCCTATCGCTATGCTTTTTGTTACATGAGCACAAGCCTGGCCTGCAAACCCCTAAATTCTCCCTATTTGTTATTTTAAATGTCACAATGTGTTTAACCTCTCAAAAAGTAAATTTTGCCAAAATTTCTTATAACTTTATAATCTCATAGTGTCACCTTTAGCAGGATTTAATGTCACCGGCGGGGATTCTAATGTCACATGAGATCGTAACTCAACTTACCAGTTACATAATTGCAATTCGCGTATGCGCTATCGCTATCTTCGAGTTTCAGATTTAAATTGTCCTGTTTCTTGTTGTGAACAGTGGTAATTCTTTGGTACAGGAGCCTGAATCTCTGTTGAATGAGGTACTTTACTCTTAATTGTGTGTTTGGATCTTTCTGGTTTATTTTTAATAATAGCTTTGCTATTACCTTTTCCAGACATCTACGATTATATTAATGCACGCTGTGAAATTAAAAGGTAGACAAACAAAGCCCATTAAAAAGGGTGCCAAAAGAAAAGCTGAAACACCCAATACAGCATTGCCTCTCGATCAATCCGTTCAAAATGATTTTCCTAATCAAATTTCAAATGCGAGGCGAGTGATTCAGTCAACTCAACCTTTCAAACCTATCCCTTCCAAAAATGGATGTTTACATTTGAAGGAGTATAAAGAGAACAATAGGTACACGTATCTGGACAATTATAATACTATTGCTGAATTATCAATGCATTGGTATCGTATTGGAATACCTAATGAAGGTGTTAAAGACTTTGATGGCTTAAGGAGAGATCGCGAAATCATTCTTAGTCATCAGAAATGTTCAATATGCTCATTTAAAGGTGATCGTCTTCACGCCTGTTTAGATTGTGTATTTATCGGTTGTTGGCGCGATCAACGTCACGCTCTAAAACATTTTCATGGTACTACTCATACCTTCGCTATGGACATCGTAAGGTTAGCCTTATTCTGTTTTAAGTGTGGTGATTATGTATATGACCTCGATTTTGAAACTGCAAAAACGTTACAAGAAGTGCGTGTGGCGGAAAGAGAATCAAATCTAAAAGAACCCTGTGCAAAACGTGCTCGGTATGTTTCTTGGCAATCAAACTCTGAAGAAGCTGCTAATATATCCAGAAATTCAACACCACTTCCTTGTTCCGGTTTACGAGGTCTTTTTAACATGGGCGCCACATGTTTCATGAACGCCATCTTGCAAACTTTTCTAACAAACCCGCTTATCAAAAACTATTTTATGACGGACAAACATAATAACAAGCTATGTGGCACAGCAGGTTGTATGTGCTGCGAAATCGATAATCTTTTTCAGGAATTCCATTCAGGAGAAAAGAAACCATACCCACCATGTAGTTTCCTTCATGCTATGTGGCTGAGTTCAAAAGAACTCGCCGGTTATGCTGAACAAGATGCTCACGAGTTTTATTTGGCTGCTATTAATAAAATGCATTCTGATTCTAAAGAAAGTATTTTAGAACCGTTAAGTAGCAGTGGTCAAAAATGCGAGTGTATTATGCATAAAACGTTTGGGGGCGTTTTTCAATCTCGCATTAAGTGTAAAGTATGTAACGATGTAAAGACCAAGGAAGAACCATTGGTTGAATGGCAACTTCACCTTCGTGGTTCTCCAACTCAACAAAAGAAAAAAAATGGTCATACCAAGGCTTCGATAGAAAACTATACTGATGAGATGGGTGATAAAAATACTTTACAACTTTGCCTTGAAAGATATACCGCGGAAGAACAGATCATGGATTATAAGTGTGATGTTTGTAACTTAAATTATTTGGAAGAAGGAGTACCTTTTAATCAGATTCCAGCAAGTAGTGAAGCTTGTACAAGAAGATTTAGTTGTAAAAAATTGCCTCCAGTCTTAACTTTTGTTGTTGAACGTTTTAGTCGAGAAGGAAAAACAACATCAAAAAACGAAGCACCCTTTGAATTTCCAGAGGAAATTAATATGACTAAATGGACAAGCCTCGCTCAAGAGGTTCTGGAGCAGGGTGGATCATTAGATGACCTGCCCGATTTTAAATATAACTTGATATCTGTTGTAAATCATGAAGGCAAGATAAACACTGGCCACTATACAGTATATTGTAAGAACAGAGACCAATGGTTTTTGTTTGATGATCATGCTGTGAAGCTCGCGGACATTGATGATGTTCTACAGAGCAAACGAAAAGCATATTTATGCTTTTACATTGCTGACACTCTAGAATATGATCAGCTTTGAGATTTTTTTTTTCCTTTTTTTTTTGTATTTTATGGTCAATTAAATTGTTCATTAATTACCGCGGCGTAATAATATCGATTATAAACTTTATAAATCGATATTGCAAGTGTTGTAGATATTTCTATAGATTGTTACATACCTTTTGAATATTACAAAAGGAATTCGAAAAGATACCTTCGGGATTACAAAATATTACAAAAAAAACTACTCTGCTTCACGTTTTATACATCTAAATTTTTTTACTAATGTACATTTAAAATTGAGGTAAATTCAATGAAGTGGTAGCTAAGAAATATCGTGATGTCAAGTTCACAAACGTGATAGTCTAAAGTGATTATAATATAATTGGTCAATTTATGTATATTTATAAAATATTTATTGGATTTGTAATTACATTAATATCGAATAACTCATTCGATCATCGAAATCATTATTCAAAATCTAGAAATCGTCACATCTATGATAAAAATGCAATAAAAACATACTATATATATATCTATATATATATATATATATATAAAATCAAAGAATGATAAGAGAAAAAAATAAAATATAAATAATCTTGCATGTAGCTTAATTATTGTCCTAGACCCGCTTTTAATATCCCCAATCACATGTTCCATCTTCACGAAGCACCCCAATACGATCATAATAAGTTCTAGCTCTAATATATGGATCTAGCTCCAGTTGAGCTTTTCGCAGTTGAATTTTCACTTGATTTCTTTCATTCTCTATTTGTTCATTATCTGGTTCGCTTATCCATTGTTTAGTGAGTATTTCAAAATCACGCTCCAAAGAGTGTCTCTTCTCTAATTTTTGTTTTTTGGTGACTTCATCCTTCGTCCTATGATTCTCATTTTCTCTTGGAGGTATATATCTATATTTCCAATTATTCTCACCACCCAAATCAGCAATTAGATGTTTAGATGGGATTAATTGTAATATATCTTTTTCATTCTGTGTAAAGCGAACTTTTGATGCCACAACAGGATCTAAAAGAGGTGATATCATCTTCCATAGCCCTCCGAACACCCAAGGAGCTTTGTGAATTATCAAAACCCCTAAGCTTTCCGGATAATATGCTTCAAAACATTGAATTATAAACTTAACGTATTGAAAATCCTATCAATAAATTCCAAGTTTATTAGAAATTGTTGTATCTCAAAAGTTATTGTCAAAATTAACTGCGAAATTATATCTTAATTATTACCATATTAGATAGAGTGAACCCCGTCATATTAAATACGAGGCATCCAGTTTCCACTGGAGCTTCCATCATCAAACGAGTTACCTCCATAGTATAAATAGTATACTTCTGAAGAACTTCAAAACTTTGTTCGTCTTTCTTATGATATCGAACATTCACATAGCTATATCACGTTAGTAAATTCAATAAGCTTTTAAAAAAGACTGATCTATATATTTTCGATAAGTGTAACTCTTGTCGAGGTCTTACCATATTGGTCTTCCGTCTTTATCAGTTCCTCTGGTAAAACTTTTACCACTTGTGAATTGATGTTTCAATCCTTCAAGATCTTTATCTGCAAAATATTTTTCCAATCCTTCTTCACCACCTTCAATAATATCTCGAACCTTAGTCTGTAGCATCCACTTTAATGTAGAAATATACATTATCATAGCTTTTTCAACGTCCCATTTCCTTGCCCGAAGGAAGCGAAGAAGTATTACATCAGGATCATCCGCTGCAATTATTGTCCATGCTGCACGATGTAACTCTTCAGGTGTGTATAACATAAGAGCAGATCGAAACTCTGATGATTCGTTATATTTATCATTTGAACGGCCAGAACCATTAATAGTTGTACTTGAAGCATTATCTTCTCTCATTTTACGCGCCATCCTACTATATTTAGAAAAAGTCTCAATAACATTTTGTTCCTTACTCTTTTTGCCATGACGACCATTAACTGTAAAATTCGACGAAACATTATCATTATTTTGTTTTATTTCAGAACTATCTTCGGCAGTAACCCCTTGCAATAAAAACGTAACAGCCCAACATTCACGTAATAAAGAGGCTTGTTCTTTAGTGAGAGTATTTACGTGGCCCGAGGTAGGATCTTCCAACTGCTGTTTCAAAGCTATGGCAGTACTCATAATGCTTGACTGTTATTAAAGAACGTATAAGATCTTGAAAGAAAAGTTTATAGTAAGTAACGAATTTTAAGAGAAAATCGCCCATTGCTAATATTTTGTCTTTAAAGAAAACAGTTTCTGAATTGTTATTGGTCAATCAATCTGGTTGGACAAATATATGATGAAACCATTAATAATATAAATGGTATAATAGAAAATCCTTATTTGGCGAGAAAATTGCGCCGTAATCCGAAGTTTTCGACCAAGTCACAGGAACACGATCCTAAATTTTCAAGTAAATCAAAAATTTATGGAATTCTCGAATATAGACGCGTAGATACAAAGTAAGATGTAGGGTAATAGTAACGTTTGTCATAACTGACATAACTGATATTGTTAGAAAATACTTAGTAGACTGCTCGTAAGAATTTGTCGACTAAGCCGAAATTGGCTTAGCCAGTTATGTAAAATCAGATATATCCCGAATTTTTCCGCCACTCGTCTAGTTCCAATTTCATAGCCAAGAATCGCTAAGTCAATTTTTAAAAAATTGACTTAGTCTAAGTCGATTTATTTATTGCATATTGGCGTATATTTGATCCTTTCAACTTGTAACTTAGTAATTTTGTAATTTGTATTGTATTCGCGTGCCGCAAAGGAAATGAGACTTCGGGCTTTCATTGATTTATTGGGTTCAGCCCATGAAAAATCCGATTGGTGATATATATGATATATGATTACGTATCGTATATCGATATATATTAATTACCATCATATTTTTAAGGGGCTGAATCCAATAAATAATAACTTGAAAGCCCGAAGTCTCATTTTCCCTTGGCAGAGGTCGTCTAAAGCCAAAGTATAGTTTTTAAATTGATTACTACAGTATATATATACTAACAAATTTGTAATCAAAATCAGTGACTCATATAAATTACTATATACTGGCTTTAGACTAGTGATACAAATCGAAAATCGAAAAATCGATTAGCTGACAACTAATCGATTAATTGATTGAAAATTTTTTGGCAACTTATATTAAAATCGAATAAGAATCGAACAAAAATCGATTGAAAATCGAATAATCGT